TACCGCCCGGCTCCCCTCGACCTGCACCCCCTGCTGCCGACTGCAGCCCCCCATGTCCACCGGCGCCCCTCGTGCCTGACCCACACACCCCCAGCGCCCCCCAGCACCCCTCGCTGCCTCCCGCAGCCCCCCGGCGCCCCTCACCGCCGACCCGCAGCCCCTGCTATCCAGCCCTGAGCTCCCCCCCACTCTGCCGGTGCCCCTCACTCCCGACCTGCAGCTCCTGGGGTTCTAAATGGGGTTTGGGGGTGTCCTGGCTCTGACCCGAACCCTCGCCCCCCAGATCCTGTTCATGGTGGGCCGGGGGTACCTGTCCCCTGACATGACCCGGGTGCCCAGCACCTGCCCCAAGGCCCTGAAGAGACTCATGATGAACTGCCTGAAATTCAACCGAGACGAGAGACCCCTCTTCCCCAAGGTGAGCTGGGGCGGGGCCCGGACGCCTGGGTTCTCTCCCCGGCCCTGGGAGGGGAGTGGGGTCTAGTGGTTAGAGCAGGGGGGGGCCGGGAGCCAGGACTCCTGGGTTCTCTCCCCGGCTCTGGGAGTGGAGTGGGGGCTAGTGGTTAGAGGTGGGGGGCTGGGAGGCAGGACTCCTGGGTTCTCTCCCCGGCCCTGTGAGGGGAGTGAGGGCAGGTGGTTAGAGCAGGGGGGGGCTGGGAGCCAGGACTCCTGGGTTCCCTCCCTGGCTCCGGGGGCAGGGGTTGGAGGGACCCGTCTCACCCCCTTTCTCCCCCCAGATCCTGGCCACGGTGGAGCAGCTGCAGCGCCTGCTCCCGAAGCTGGAGCGAAGCATGTCAGAGCCCTCCCTACACCGCGCCTCCCCCCCCGACCCCCGCGGCTCCTCCCCCCCGTCGCCCCTGCGCCCCCTGGCCTAGCCCAGACAGATGGACACCCCCACCCCGCTGCTCGGAGCCTCCCCCAGCCTGGGACCCCAGCGTCCGGGAGCAACGGTGGGAGAGGGCGGCAAACACACCAAGGGGCTGGGGAGCTTCCCCCCCCGAACCCCAGGGCCACCATCGCCCCAGAGGAACTTCCATTGAATGGAGATCGATGTGTGACACCCCCCACCCCGCCCCAGAGGTGGCTGCATCCCAGCATCAGCCGCGCCGTCCGTTCAATGCGGCCGTTCCCGGCTGCCCCGCCCCAGAGGTGGCTGCATGAACGGCGAGTCGCGGGCTGTTAAATCTCTATTTTAATATATCGGTCTCTGGTTTCTCGGCCTCGCGCCGCATTTCTTTGACATCACAGACGATGGGGACCCACGACAGTGTCACGAGAATCACTAACGGGGGAGGGGAGCAATTCGTGCTCGGCTGCCCCGCCCCCACCCCACCCCCTTCACAGTGGGAACCGGGGTGGGGGGGGCGCAGCAGCTGGGCCAGAGGGGGGAGGGGCCCGATCCTGGGCTCCCTCCTGTGCCCCCCAGGGCCCGATTCGGGGCAGGGGTCGAAGCGTCATGACAACACGGAAACGACACGCAAACATCACGCGCTGGGGGGGCGTCACGACACAGCGCTGGGGGGCACTCAAAAATATAGAGGGGGCAAGACTCTGAGATCTGTACAGGGGGGCTGACGGGGGGCAGGAAGGTGTTGTGGGGGGCCGCTGGGGAAAGGGAGATGGGCTGGTTTGGTGGTACATGGGGGGCTGTCGGGAAGGGGAGGGGGTGTTGCTGGGGGCAGTGATGTGAGGGTGTTAGGGGGCTAGGGTGGATTTGGGGGTGGGGGCAGCGTGGGGGGTGTTGCTGGGGGCAGTGATG